TAGTATGGGGAATTAAAAACATGTAGTCTTATTTGTGATCGTGGACAACTTTTTGAACCTATTTAGGTAATTAACTAACCGATATTAAAAGGGAAAAGGGGCAAATAAACCCTCGAATTAACCGAAAAAGGGCAAATCACTCCTTTTATATGAGGCTCTGTCCGGCCGTCTTCATTTGAGACGGTTCTCGGTGAAATTTTTTGATGACATATTTTGAGCATCTTCTTTATTAAGTCTTGTTTACTCATACCAAATTTCAACTAAAAATTCAATCGTGAAGACAGTCAAATAAATGATTGAAGATAACTGCGCAGTTAAACAGCGCAGTATATTTGAGAAAATCATTTGACTGCCTTCCCGGTTGAATTTTTACCTGAAATTTTGTAGGGTAAACTAGACTTAATGAAGAAGATGCTCAACAAAATCATCAAAAAAATTCACTGTTAACCACCCCAAATGGCAATAGCCAGACAGAGCCTCCTATAAAAGGGGTGATATGCACTTTTTGGGTTAGTTCGAGGCTTATTTGCACTTTTTCTCTTATTAAAATGATGAAGGAACTATAAAATCATACCTAGCTCGGAAAATTAAACATCACTAGTCTCATAAGGCAAGAACAACCATGCTTGATGTACACACCCTTGTACACATCTTATACACACCATGTTTGTGAAGTTTTTTTTTGTCTGTGAATCCGGTTCACAGACAATATTTTGTTTATGCAAAACATTGTCTGTGAATCGATGCTCACAGACAAAAAAAACTTTCACAGACATAGATGTGTACAAAAGTGTGTATAAGAGTATGTACAAACATCATTTTTGAGGCAAGAAACCTCAAAATGAAGAGCTGAAAAATATAAGCTGAAACCTATAAATAATTTTGAGATATCTAATTTATCGCGCAACAGGCAAATACGTGTCACTAGGATAGATCTGCCACATGTATGCTTCACATAAATCGTGGCATCCATAGATTAAGTTGCACTATATTGATACTGTCATGAAGCCACAGGCCCACAGCCCACAAGTCATGGCTTTTATGGGAATGTGGTATAACCGTATGAACTCGGTGACCCATAACTAGGGGTGGATGGGACCGGGACGGGCTGGACTCCGGATTGGGATTGAGCGGGCTTGGGCTCAAAAATTTCAGGTTCGGTATCGGTCCGGATTTTTACCGGTACTGGGTTAGGCCAGCCTTCGGGACGGTCCCGACCCAAAAATACGAGCCCGAAGCCCGCTTTTATAGCTACCAGGCCGGGCCGAGCCTAAACAATACCGGGTCAGATCGAGTCCGGATCGGGTTGGATCCAGATCGGGCCGACCCGTCCCAATCCATCCCTACCCATAACTTTTCTTCAAGGGCAAAAGAAAAGCTATTTCAGGATTGGAATTTTCATATTTCCACAATTCCACCTGTGTATCAATTAACCTAGGGGTGGACTCGGGCCGGGCCAACCGGCCCGGAACCGGACCGGCCCGCTACTGTGCGGGCTCGGACCGGCCCGGTGAACCGGTTGGTGCCCGGTTCAGGCCACCCGGCCCGGTGAGGTAGGTAGGCCGGGCCAGGGCCTCCTAAATCGTGAACCGGCCCGGTCCGGGCCAAATTATTATTTATTTATTTATTTTGATTTTTTTTTTAAATTTTTGGGTTGGGTTGGGTATGATAGGCCATTTGAGGTGGTTTGGAGTGATTTGGGGGTGAGGGGGGAAGGTTAAGGGTTAATTAGGAAAAGCCAAAAAAAAAATATAAGAACCGAGGCCCGGACCGGACCGGACCCAGGGGTTACCCGGACCGGTTCCGGGCCTCCCCTTTCATGAACCGAGGCTTGGTCGGGCCCGAACCGGAACCGGTCCATCCCTAAATTAACCAGAAACCAATTTGCCACAAGCCACTTTTTATTTTGGATTAGAAGTCTTGTTGAGCTTTAGACTCCACACTCACATCGACACAAATAATCATTTTTTTCATTTTGTTTACCTCAAGCTTTCAAGCTGTGAAAGCTTGAGGTAAATAGGGCTTAAACTCTCACTATGGAGTTTTGAATTCGAGATTCAAGAATGAGTCGGCGTCGATCAATTGTGCTGGATCACTTCCACCTTAATCTTACACATTTTACAAAAATAACTCATACTAAAAAAATTCACAACAATAATTCTAACTAATAAATTATTTCATAAAAATAAACCATGAGGTGTTAACTTTTATGTTAGTTTTTTTAACATCAAATATAATGAAGAACAAATATACACTCCGTATATAAGTATTAGCAATGTTTTGTTTGAGTTTAATCTTATTTCTATTATAAATATAATTTAATATCCAATATTTTTCATAAAACATCAGATTCTCTATTATTTTTTAGGGAGATTTCAACAAGTAGGAGCAAAACGTACGGATTTTCCAAAACTGAGACTGAAGATTAGGGTAAGACTCAACTACACCTGCATTGACCACAATACCTTTACTTTTAGAAAATAACAGACATTAAATAGACAATAAATAGACAATAAGTAGACAATAAATAAACAATAAATTCTGGAAAGCAATCAGTCTAATGCTCCGACCCGCAAGGAGAATGGGAGAATAAGAAGGGCCTGATGCGCCGCCACCCTAATTGAAGCGATTCCGGCGAAGACGAAGGTGCGATGATTCTGGCGAAGATGGAGGTGCGACGAAGAAGAGAGATGGATGTGTGATTCCAGATCCACAATTCCAAAATCAGAGCCGCTGCTTCCATCGACCGTGGCCACTGCCGCAACTTCGAAAGCACCATTTACTGCCTTGTCGATAGTCTGACTAGCAAGCCTGTGGCGGCGGCGGCGTTCCTTTTCTTCAACTACCCGTTTGAACTCTTTGAAGGGCAAATTTGGAAAGTTAGAAATAGGTTTTCTAATCTAGAACTAAATAGGTAATATGAATGGAAAACACATTTGTAGGTATTGTTTTTGTAAAAGAGCTATGATTTGATCCTACTAGGAGCAAATTTCTCTATTTTTTACTCTTGACCAATATTTTATTTATAATCATTTTTGTTATTCATTAAGGTGTTTGAATAGTGCAAATATTCCTCCTCTAAAAAGTCTATATAACTATGTAAGCATTTGAATAGTGTAAAAATCTAAATATTACAACTATTAAAGAAGGGAGGGGAAGTATATAAAACAATATTTTTATAAACCTCATTAACCGCAGCAACAATTTTGTCACTTTCACTTTTAATCAATTATTTTGTGATTTCTGTTATTTCTCTCTTCTTTGCACAAATCTCAACCACACAGTTTTTATTTTCTTATTTTCCGTGAAACTTTGACAAAGTTTTAAGGGACGGAGGTAGTATTAGGTTTATTTACCCATTCTAAGTACTCCGTAATACCTTCCAGCAAAAATGATGTTTGTACACACTCTTATACACACTTTTGTACATACCTATGTCTGTGAAAGCTTTTTTTTTTGTCTGTGAACATTGATTCACAGACACTGTTTTGCACAAACAAAATATTGTCTGTGAACCGGATTCATAGACAAAAAAAAGTTTCACAAACATGATGTATATAAAGTGTGTACAAGGGTGTGTACATCATGGTTGACCTCCCATTCTGTCCTGATCTTGTGTGCCGGTGTGCGTGCATATACATTTTTACATTGTTAATGCCGTTTGGAAATGGGAGTACTATTCTCACGGAACTCTTGTCCCACCTTGTACGAACGAAGGATTTGGCGTACTTGTTGTGGGTTAACAACAAGTGTTTTACGGTTTTTAGTAAATATGCCCTACGTCTCAAAATTTATTTTCTAATTTGAGTGAGTAAAAAAAATAAAAGTTCACTTTCCGAAATTAATCTTATACTCCGTATTAAAGTAGAGGAAGGTAGTAGTCCAAAGGGTTATATTACACAAAAATCTAACATTTAGAGGTAATGACAAAATTAGTCCACCGTATGCATTATTATTTGAAAGGAGTCATCTTTTTAGTATAAAAAATAAAACTATGATCCATCTAATTTCATTCATTAGGATGATAGGATCTGTTAAATGCTTATGTATCCGCTACTCCTAAGCATACTACTCCGGTATTTTATTTTGTTAGTGAGTGTGTCATTATTAATTTTATTTATTTTATTAAAAAGTTATGTATATCCTATGCTCCTCCAACTTTGCTGAGCATCAACCCTATTCTCTCTGGTACTAACGGTTCTCTTTTAATTGCAACATCGGACATTTTGCACTATTCACATATTCTAATTTAACTATATTTTTTAATTAATTTATTATAAATTAAATTTTTAAACAATAATGTTAAATTCTTCTCATTCTAAAATTTCAATATATGAATTTTTGAATTTTTTTACTAATAGGGAATGCAAGATATTAATGATCAAACTTGTGCATCGACAAACGTTGTTGACTATTGCAATAAAAAAGGAACGGAGAAAGTATATGATATATATAAGCTACATCTACAATGTAAAAAGACAATAAAGAATTTATTGATACATCAACAATTGATAGAAGCAAAAGTAACACGGATATGAGGTAATTATACTTTTAAACGATGACTACTTTTATATAAATATGAGTTAAATGAGATGGATCATAGTTTTGTTTTGGTTTTCAAACAATGGTTTCTTTAAATAATTATATATACTGTAGACTAATTTGATCAGTAACTCCAAATGTCTGATTTGTTTTGTGTAACGAGCCTAGTCTATATAAAGTAAATGAGGCAAGAAAAATAGTAAAGTAGGGGGCAAATGAGCACTTTAACATCAAAAGCATGTCAAAATTAGAAATAAAATAAAAATAGAAAGTCAATTTTGGGACATCTTACGTATATACCAGCCGGTCCAGCCCCATCTGTTATCATCTCGTACTCCACATCTTTGCAACCCACGCGCTAGTAACTACCTGCTACTACAGTATTCTGGAAATAGTTGGCATTGCATTTACTCCAGCGAAACAAAGCAATTATTGATCAGAAGTGCTGGTACCCCCCCCAAAATGTAATAATTAATATTTCCTGATAGCTTTTTCCATCTCCTTTGAACTTCAACATTAGGCAAGGCATCTAATCCGAATGAGTGAATGAATATCTTCAGCAAAAGATGACAGCTTCCCTCTCTCTCTGCTGCCAGAAACCTAGAAGACACCAACGAGAAAAGAAAAGAAGTCAACAACAAGTGGTACGTTAGAACTTAGAATCAGTCATGTTCAAGTCTGCAAAATGGAGAAAGGAGAAGAAGATCAGAGCTGTATTCCAAATGCAGTTTCAAGCAACACAGGTTGTTTCATTCATTCAACTTGTTGTAGCAATGTAAATATAAATATGCCCATTGCCCAATGCAATGCAATTCATTCAGTTTATTGAGCCTCTTTAACTAGAGCACATCTGATTCTTCCTATCTCCTATTAACTCTCTTCTTCTCCTCCTACTCCTACTTCTACATCTATCTACAGGTGCCTCAACTAAAAGGAAAAGGCCTCATACTATCACTTGTTCCAGCAGACGCTGGAAAGCCGACTTTAAAATTGGGAAAAGCTGCAATAGTTGAAGGATGCTGCTCCTGGGATACTCCTATATGCGAAACCATGAAATTTGAGAGAAATTCTCAATCAGGAAATTTTCAAGAAAAGATATACTATTTCGTTGTAGGGACGGTAAGTACCAATCAGGAAATTTTGAGGAAAAGATATATGGATTGAGTACTATTTTGGATTTACATATATGCTCCCAACTGAATGGTAGCCCTTTTCAGAAATCATCAAAATCAGGTTTTTTGGGAGAGGTGGGAATGGATTTTGCGGAATTGGCAGAGATAACTGAGCCAGTAATACTATCTCTACCTCTTATGCCAGCAGACTCGGGCATAGTTTTACATGTTAGTCCTTCCCCCCCCCCCCCCCCCCCCCCCCTCTCTCTCTCTCTGTTTCGCTCTCTACATCTCTCAATTCTCAAATATGAAGAGACATTATAAATTAACTTCCTTGTAATATGTGGAGGCATAAATCTAAATTTAGTCATGAAACAGGTGACAGTACAGAAGATGCAAGGGATGTCTGATCAAAGGTGATGGAGAAACCCACAAATAGGAAATATATTAATCAAAAATTTAAAATGTTGATTCTAGTTTGAATTTTGTATAGAAGTAGTAATAAATACGGTAATATGCATTTTTCTTTCAGGAGCAGGGATGAAAGTGATGTTTCAAGAACTGATTCGTATGATCAAAAGAGAATTGAAACAGAGCTGGAATGTGCAAACTCCGCCCAAGTAAGTTCCTATCTGTGCGACAATGCACATAAATGTGGGATAAAAAGACTTTGTTGTAAGTTCATAAACTACAATTTTGATGAAAAATGACTGCCTAATTCATTCCACAGGGTGAGGAATGCAACACAACATCTCCATATTCTGAGAGAAATGGCGGCCTTAGACATCTTCAACATGATGATAGTGAAGTGAAGCAAGACCCTAGTAGTTTTGGGCATGAGGACTTCAGGCCGGAGAAGCCTGCTTTTGGGATCAATTCCCTGAAAAGATATTCCCATCAAAGATCCTCCACAGACTGCTCCCTGGGCTCAACCTCAGATGGAAGTATAATAGATGCAATAAACAGACCCAAGGAGGAAATCCCAAGGGATATGGTGTTGCAAGAAACTGACACAAACAGCATTTTGAGGTTACAAAATCAAATCAAACTGTTGGAAAGGCAGGCAGAAGTTTCTGAAATAGAGCTGCAATCCCTGAGGAGGCAAGTTGTAAAAGAAAGCAAAAGGGGACAGGATTTAGTGCAACAAATTTTTGACCTCCAAGAGGAGAGAGATGCACTTAAAACAGAATGTGATCAACTTAAGTTAAAAATTACAGGGCGGGATGTGGAAGTCTCAAAAATACGGCAAAGTGAAATTGAAGAGTGGGCTGCACAGTTAGAGGGGTTCAGGCAAGAGCTTGCTCACGAGAAGCAATTAAAAAGCAAATTGGAGCTACAACTGCAAAAGACAGAAGACTCGTACTCTGAACTTATTCTTAGAGTAAGGGACATGGACGAGACTTTGGCCAAGAAAAACAAGGAGATATCTTCACTTTCCAGTAAAGTAGAATCTAACAAAAATTACAACTTCAGAAGTGATCAGAATGAAGAGAAAAACAGAAATGTGTTTGAGAAGGGCAATGAATCAGAAGAAATGAGGCAAATAATAGGAAAGCAGGCCAAGAAAATTGAGGTTTACGAGAAAGAAATTGAACAGCTAATTGTACAGAAGGATCATCTTGTGAGTGACTGTGAAGTTCTGAAAGATGAAAAAGAGGATGCTTATTCTGAGCTTGAGCAGAGTGAGTTACAAAGAGAGAAATTGCAAAAAGAATATTTTGAAGCATTGGCCAGCATAAAGCAGTTGCAGGCCCATGTACAGGAGTTGGAGAGTGAAATGCAAAGACAAGCAAGAAATTACTTGGAATCATTGGACACAATAAGCATGCTAGAATCTGAAGTCATGAGCCTTGAGAAGGAGTTGAAAAAACAGGCAGAAGAATTTGAGAATGATCTGGAAGCAGCAAATCAAGCCAAAGTTGTGCAGGAACAAAAGGTTGTAAATGCCGAGGACACATTGAAGAGAACAATGTCAAACCACGCAAGTGCAACTGAGCAGCTTCAGGAAGAAATCAGAAGGCTTTCTGTTGAGATGGCATCTCATGTTAATGAGAAGGAGAAACTAGCTATTAAAGCAGAAGCTGATGTCAAGGCTCTGCTACAGCAGAATAAAGCTCTTGAGGACTCACTGCATGAAGCTGAAAAAGAACTAAAATTAACATCCGATTGCTACACCAAAGAGTTGAATCAATTATCAATTCATAATAATCAGATGTTATTGGAGAAGTCAAACAGAATGCAGACTCTATTGGATGAAAAGAAGAAAAGTGAAGAAGATTTACAATCTGAAATTAAAAAACTGCAAGATTTACAATCTGAATTGGCTCATGGGTCTGAAAAGTTGAAGCTAGAGAATGCCAACCTTAAGAAGCAGGTATCCGAATTACAGAGTCATCTATGTACGAGAGGACAGGTACATATCAATGCAATAAAACAAAAGAGGCGCTCATACATATTTTAACCAGTTTAATGTATAAAGTATAATTAGCTTTCATTTCATTTCATTTCATTTTCATTTACCCCAGTGCCGCAAAGGCTCCCACCTACGGTGGGGTAAGGGGGGGTCGGATGTACGCAATCTTACCCCTGTACTAAAGCACAGAGAGACTGTTTCCGGATGACCCATAGTGAAAATCCTGTCCAAAATTGCATGGACTGACTGCTGCTTCACTAAGAGAAAAATAACAGCATTAGTTCCTATCTTATGCTTATACCCATTATACGGCTTATACCAGTTGCACATGAAACCACAAGGTAAAAGCAAAACAGCTTCAAATAAACAAGTTAATTAGTTAAGACCCCATCATCCTTCATCATCATCATCAGCAGCAGCAGCATCTTAATAAACAAAATTTTGTAACGTTGGTTAATACTTTAGGTTCATGCACACACAAAAAAAAGTGGCAAAGTTTTAAGTCTCCATTTGGTGACAAACTTGTTTTATCACCTTTCAGGTAGCATAGTCATGGTTAATTAATGTCCAGTGAAACCAGTACACCTTATTAAATAATTAAATATTATTCTCATGCAAGGGAATTCATTAAAGTCATGAAATAGTGAAATATCTATCATCTATTATCCAGCCAGCATGCTCTTCCAGTAAAAACAATTTTACATAAATAAATATTACTCTGTAAATCTCATGCTCTTTAGCACATATGTTTCTGGAAAGAAATGCCACTGTCATTGATTATCACATAAATTTTGAAAGAACTGCACATTTTGATATATAGGAGAGCAGACCTTCAAATGCAGCTACTGGTGAAGCAAGAAAAGGTACTGGAGAATGTTCCCATTGTGGGGCTATGAGGTCTCCAGAAGACTCATCAGCGGAAAATGGAATCAACAAAAAAACACAACAAAGCAGGTATAGAATTGAATTATTGAACTTGTCATGCCTATAATACCTTCAATGTATTGTCTTTTACTCCACTGTATACACTGAAGTTCACTGCTCTTGATGCAAAACAAATTGTCTTAATAAAGAGATGACCTTACTGAGCGTTTCCAAAATGAAAGACACTAAAAGTTGTTCCTATATGCAGTAAAAAGATTGATGCGAAAATGACGAAGGTCAAGAATGGGCATGCTGACGGTACAAATGATCTAGCTGACTTACTTACAGAAGTAGTATTACTGAGAGAAAAGAACAAGCATATGGAAGGTGAGCTTAAGGAAATGGAAGAGAGATATTCGGAAATCAGTCTAAAATTTGCGGAGGTAGAAGGTGAAAGGCAGCAACTTGTCATGGCTGTCCGCAATTTGAAGAATGGAAAGAAGAGCTAGGAGTGTTTAACGCTAAAAGTGTATATAGACTGCTGAGTTCAAGACAACCCTATATTACAAGACTTGCATACAGCATAGCTCTGATGATCTTGACATTCAGTCTTACTCTATACAAGAAGTTGCTTCTGCCATGACCAAAGTGCAAAAAACTGAAATATATATATTGTGTTTCACTATGATGAGAACATACACATGTATGATAAAATACCATAGCTTCCAGATTGCTATAATCTTCTGCCTGGAGTGTCAGAACCACTGTCGCACCAAATCAGTTTAGTTTGCCCTCCACTTCCATTTGTTGCAAAAGACAGTTTCTGCATACAATTAAACATGTAATGTAATGACTATAAGCAATAATTTATTATTTCATTCTAAAGAGAGGTTCAACAGATGTACTCTTTTTGCTTTTTTATCAACTGGTGTTCGTGATGATCTTCCTGAAGCAGAAGTCGTTTCAATTTTAGATGTTGATGATGGCCATATAACACATTTTTGTTTCTTTTGTTCAATTGATCTATCTGAGGCAGCACACTGTCCTTGGTACTTGAAGAGTTCAATAATAGATGGACTCTTTTGTGTACCCTTTGGTGTAGTCTCTTGGTGTACATAACAAGGTGCGCATAGAGTTCGTTGTGTACCCTTTGATCTATTGTCTTTGTGTTTATAGCAAGGAGCACATAAGTTATGAAGACCAGAATGTTTGCGTGATGTACTCTTTTGCCTGATTCTGTTGAGAAATTGAATATCCCAGGCTGATTCTCGTGGCAGTGAATAAGAGTTTATTGCACTTGATAGTGGTGTCAGTTTACCCCTCCCTTGCAGTGAGTGATTATGCAATTCATGCACTTCCCTCAGAGATTGACCTCCTTCTGAGGCCCCATTGTTGTTCTCAAATGGATTTATATTTCTCTTGAAACCCGTTTCTTTATCGTGATTACTTCTTTCTCCAGGGCTTTGTCCTCTGTGGCTTACAGAAGTCCAATCAGAAGAGGAAGATTCAACCTCCGCAGCAGTAGGAAAATTCGGAAGGTCACTTATACCAAAGTGTAGTTTTTTTGCAGCTTTAGAGACTCTTGGTGTCAATTCTTGATCTACATGCAGCAGTGATGAAAAGTCCACACAATTTGCAGTAGAATTCTTTTTATTATCAATAGCTTCAGCTATAAAAGTCTTGTTTTTGTTTCTAGAATCCTTGCAACCATGTCCATCGCTTTTGTTACTAATAGATCCATCAAAGGGTTGTCTTTGAGGGAGACATACACCAATGGAACTAAGATCATTTCTGTTCAATTGATCTCCAATATCAAGATCACTTGCGTTCAGAAAGTCACAGGATTGAAAAGAATTTTGGTCACGCTTTATCATATTGACCTCCAATGGAAAGTCTTGACAAAATAAATCATCATCAAAAGTTAAATTAGGCATCCCAGGCCCACTAAGCGTGTCTGTCCTCTCTGGGATCCATGATGATAAGTATGGGTCAGATGTGCAGGGGTGACTGTCTTCTTGTAGATTCCCTGCATGCTTCCTTTTTCTCCTAGCAGAGTCACTTCCAAAATGAAGAGGCTCTGACCCAAGAACGGAAGATACTGAGGAGCAATCTGTCATTCCTGATTTAGACTCCTCACGCTCCCCATATCTACTCAAAGCACTTAATAATGAAATGCTATCATATGAAACCCCATACTTTTGAACTACGCTAACAGTACGCTCGGGTGGCCACTCCAGAAACTCAAGAAGAGTGCTCACAGAAGACAATATTGCGTGAGCTAAAAGTGGATTGACTGAAGGAAACATAGTAAGAAAGGATTCTGCTAGCGTCGCTGACTCGGGCATTTTAGGTAGCATGCCTCTACTTTTCCTTGATTCAGCTTCAATGCAAGATAATATGATCTTTTCAGTCATCTCAGGAGAATTTGAGCGAAAGATCTGTATATCAATTCCCAGACCAGGTGCAACGGCGTATAACTGATCTGATAACTCCATAATCCCATCAAGGAAACTGTTCTCTCCCTCAAATACCTAGAATGTAAAGTGGAAAGTATTCAAACTCCGTATTCATCTTTGAAAATGATGCATGAGACTATGAGGGTAATGCTTAGCATGTGCAATATTCTACTATGTGTAAGTTGGGTTTTTTCTGTAGGTGTATATCGTGTTCACAATCATTTTCTTCTAAAACAACCCACGAAGTATAAAATAACCATAAACTGATTATCATATTTCTGTGCACTCACATGCATAGAAGTGGAAAGAATTCTGAAACAGGTTATTAGCATGAAAGAGCATTCTTAGCAATTACCAGAATGCAGCCGCTAAAAGCATAGCTTAGCGAAGTTAAAACACTTGCTGCAATATTTTCTACACATAGTGACAAGCATGAAAAGGTCTCTTCTGATGCAGTAGATTTCTTTGCAATGTTACTGCAGTTATACCATGCAATGCAAATGGAAGCACTGATTATGACATCAACTGGAAAGTGCAAGTCCCGCTCTATAACTTGAGTTCCTTTTTCCTCCAGTGAAAGAATATTTTGGTATGTTTTTGTCCGAGATATGATCATTTGTTTTTCAAAGTCTTTTGTGTTCACAACAATGATGCTTTCAGAAAGAGAGCAGTCACTTGTGTGAACTTTCTCTGATATATCAAATGGCTCAAACTGAGGCAGCATCCTTGAGCAAACTTCATCTCTTCCTAATGTTTCTATACTTCCAGAATCACAGTTCTTTTCTACTAGCATACAACTCCTCTGTTTTTCCATGTTCTCACTTTCACTCAGTGAAGAAAGAAAATGCTGATCTTTTGCATTATTCTCGTCCACAGCATCAAAATTGGATAATTGATTAGTCTTTTTATGTTCTTTCCTGCTTGAGAAGTTTTGGTGGTTTGAAAGAACATCCAGGTCATTGAAGTGGGAGAAGGGAACACCAAGCAAAGAAGTCTCTTTAGTAACAGTTTTGGATGATTCTCCACCTGCCTCTCTATTTCCAATCTGCAACGTACTTACAGAATTTTCACCAAAAGCCAGATGATATTCTGGAATACTGTTAGACTTTATGTGCAGTGTTTCTTTACTCTCTTCTTTCTTTGATGCTCTTGGAGAATCGCCAGAAAGAATAAAATCATATACCAGCATCTCACAATCACCCAATTCCAAAGTCATATTAATGCTGTAAGCATCCCCAAAAAGTTTGGGGAACAGAGAATCTTCAATGCAGTAGGGATTCACTTCTTCGAGAATATGCCAATCTAAATATAAAGCATCAGACACGCAAAATTGTAGCAAACCTAATCCAACTAGGATTTCCTCGACATATGAATGCAGTGACCTTGATTTTTGATGGTCCAAACATAGCGGCACAGGCAATGACCTGAAAGAGCTATCTTTCACAGTGAGCTCCTCACGAACAATGAGTTCATCAAAGCTCCTTACACTTATTGCTTCTTGAGGCATTTCTTCCTCAATCTGCAATTTTGCATCGTATAGGGCTTCATAAATATGAGAACGATCTGAATCAAAGAGTTGTGGTTCCTCAAAGATTATTGAATTTCTTGGCCAACTTGATCCATTGTGTGAGCTCTCGCTTTGTTCTATGACACTTAAAATATCTGTTTTAAAGGAGTGAGTTGGAAAAGGTATCTCAGTCTCGATTTCTTTTGCTGCTAAACATTCTAACAAGTCAACTTGTATAGAACCCAATAACCCTTCTGAGTCACTCATTCTATCACCTCCCATCAAGTACTGGGTTTCAATAGTTCTGAATATTTGAAATTCATTTTTTGTAGGCATGTCGCTCACAATACCCAAACCAGCACCATCAACTTCAAGGAGAGGAAACTGGGTAGTAGAAGAATAATATTGCCCCTGGATAGAGCCACTGTCTTCCAGATAATTAACCATTTTCTCCTCAAAAGTAGCCAAGTGGATTTCATCAACTGCATAAAGGGATTGGTGAATACTGAGGGGATACTGCAACATGGTCTCCGTACTGGGTATTTCCTGAAAGGAGTGCACAATTATCCCAATTAAGTAGGACTTCAATTCCCCCTCCTGCCTTATACATTTATCTATAAAAGGGAACATGTAAAGAAGAACTGTATTTATACACAACACACACACAAAGCTTAGTAGTCAGCTTTCAGAGTCTCATAAGCAATTGTGACGTGTTTAAGATTTAAGAGGCAAATAACATAAAGGTTTATCTCATATCCTTTAGGTTCATACCATTGGTTGGCTGGATACCAAAGTAAAGCCTAACACCACATCATTTTCAATTTCATTACATAAACAAATAGGAAATACCCCATAGGTATATGAGTTCATGATATTTTTTACTCAAGCTTTTTAACTACCTTTTTTTCAACAAGGGAAATGTCAGGAAGAGTCCGCCAGTCCTCCTGAAAATAAAAGGTAGCCTCGTGATTCGCAATGGGGTAAAGAGAGAAATTTCGATAAAAGCATTTGTTATTAAGCATATATATATAGGGGAGAGTTCAAATAAAAAGATATCTTCCCGTGCAAAGTGCGAACGGGTGCACTTTTTGCTCACTATGATGCACTTTTACATGTTCCTTGTGCACTTTCCTGCGGTGGCAAAAAACTTTGATTTAATTACGAAATTGTCTCTGCGTTTTTTATCAAATCTAGTGCTGGCTCGTTTTGAGCCATTAGATCAAGAAATGAATGCACAAGATTTGAAGCTATCTTTGTATTTGAACCCCCTATATGTGTGTGTGTGTGTCATTACCACACAAGAATGGGATCAAATCTAAAATATGGTGGTTTACCATTGGAACCATAACCGAATGGAGCTCTGAAACTTCAAACTGGAGAATTTCATACTTGGTATCTTGCTTGACATCAATTGGAATACGGGCTTCCTGCAGTGAAATGTAATACAATAATAAGTAGTACCTTAAAACCACATATATTACATAATAAGTAATCCCTAAAAACCACTTAATAATTACTGCTACATATAAATAGTCCATGATGACAATTTGAACTGTTGGATATAATTCGGAGTTGAGAATATTATCTCCACACAAAAACAAGATCATTATTTCTATAGTAAGATCCGAAACTATAGGAATACAAGTAAGCAATATTAAGACACCAAATAATCTAATTCAGATTCAATTTTAGGTTTCCTTAACTAGAGTAATCTGTGAACCCCAAAAGGAAATATAGATGCCACGATAGCAGGATGGGATGGGATGAGAAGAGGCTAAAGTCTAGGTCACGGAAATATGGAACTAACAATCCATCAGCAGTATCTCAGATTGTATACAGTTCATAATAACGTCAGCTTCAATAGTTTAACAAATATTCCATCACGCAGACCTCCATGCATACTGGGACACAGAGGCCATCATAAAATTACGAAATTAATCAGCAGATACATTTAAGATCTAAGGGTAAAATCAAACGGGAAACCATAAATCCGTGCAAAAAAGAGGTCCATAGTTAGTAGTTACTAGTTACCTCAGCATTTTGGTGAGAAATGGAACTCGTTAGCTTGCTAGAGTCGGCTTCTCCGGAGCAAGGCTGAACGTTCCCTGGATGACGAACATCAAATTCAATGGAGTTGGGCAAGCATTCGGAAAGGAACTTCGACAGAGCTTCGTCGATTGGTAATTGATTGATTCCAATGTAGATTCCGGGAATTGACAGTTGATCGAAGCGAGGAAGGTCTTTGAATCCGGAGGAATTAATGGGCGGGAGGTGAGGAAGAGGGAGGCGAGGGAAATCTGCAGCTTGGATCGCATTGGAGATGGAGTAGTCGGCGCAGGTGAACCGAGTTCGCATTTCAACGGCTTTCAGGAGTTGACAGAGCAGCAGAGACTGAACCTTCTGAATTGAGAGAGTTCTGTATATGCCAGGCGTGCGTAGTCATACACCGCACAGCTCCCGCGCTTTCTTTACTCGTGGAGTATTCATACGGACTATTTAAAAAAAGGTTAAAAAAAAGGGAGTATTCATACTGTAGTACGGAGTATATTATTAGTAATCCTCCTAAGGATTACTTAAAACTATATCATTGTGATTTGTGTAAATGCTCATTTAAGTTCTCATTTTTAATGGAGTGAGATTACAACTAGTTCCTTGTGAAAATATAAAATTTATGATAATGATTAACCTAACTAACAAGGAGTGCTTTGTTTCTGAAAATCCGTTTTTGAAGCTAGAGCTAGTGAGCTTTTCCACTATTCAAGAATTCGGAGAATCAAAATTAAATTCTCACTTTTCTGTTTCGAAATATCATGGGGTTACAAACGAGTCAAAACGCTCGTGAGCTGCTCGTAAACTGCTATATCAAAACTTGTCTCGAGTTCAATGAAACTCGAACTTGAGATGAACTCGAGCCAGCTCGATAAGCAAATGAACTGAGCTCGAGCTCAATTCCTTTGAGCCCCGTTCGCGGGCCATTTGTCATCATTCGCTCATATCTAAAACATATACTGCTGAATTTTTCATTCTAACAAATTATGTTTTTTTTTTTAATTTATTAAAATGTAACTCCGCCAAAATATAAAACATGTAACATACCACTCCGTATATAACAATGATATACAACCAATGTTAAAAACTCACAAAATATCTAATAAATTTCAAAATTCAGCATATTACACTCTTACATTTTTGCATTTTTTTATTTTCGAATTTTTTAAAAGTTTCTTAAGCTTTTTCAAAAAATAACCTACTACTACCTCCGTTCCTATTTTATCTTCCAACCCACTTTGGCACACAATTTAAGAAAAGTGGGTATTGTGTGGTGGAGAGTTGTGCAGAGGAGAGAGAAATGTGTAAGAAATGTTGTGAACCACATATTCTTTACCAAAAAAGGAAAGTGGAAATTTAATTGGAACGGATGAAAAAGGAAAGTTGGAAGTTTATTTAGGAACGGAGCGAGTATAACAAAAAAAATGGAAAAATGATATGAGTCACTCTTCTAATGAAAAATGACTATGTATCACTTTTATTATATAAACAAATAGTTGATATTATTAAATATTCTTTTCAATAATTAATTACATATACGTAGTATATGACAAACATAAATACTCCCTATTGTTTACAAAAATGTGCCATTAAGTGTACTAAACTACTAACTATAATACTACGTAGTAATTTAAGTTTAATTGTTTATATTTAAGTTACTGTGAGAGTATCGTATCTTGGGTGTGTCTCGGAAAAATGAAGAAAATAATTAATAAAAATTAATTATTTAAAATGACTAAAGAAAACAAAAATGAGATGAGGCAGAATTTAGCCAGAGCTCGTGTTACGCACGATGTTCTTAAAACGTATTTGTCGCCTCCCACGGTGCTAGGAGTGTTGCAACGACCGGTTCCAGGATACGGTGGCTAACGAACTAGCGTTTGAGCACACAAACGAAAGTTCCGACGAACGGGAACAAGCTAGAACACTCAAGAAATTTTCGGAGTAGCTGGATGTGTTTTTAGAGCTCAAAATACGTGCAGATAGTGTATGACTCTGTGTGTTGTTGCAAAGCACCTGCCAGCCATTTTATAGGGGGATTTGTGGTATGTTAATCGAGCTTTAATGGACCTGAACATTGCACATAAATGTCCAGCACGTTGGGCATTAATGTGTTGAAAAAATGTCCATTTAAAGAAGCATTAAAGGAGAAGAACGTTAGGCAATTATTGCCGTAACCGCTCAGTTGTGCGACCAGAAGATCGAGGTCCATGGTCTTCTGTCTGGAAGCCACCATAAGAGCTGTGTGGTCTTCTGTCCGGAAGCCACCAGAACTCCAGAAGACCTCATGGTCTTCTGTGCCGAAGCCATGGTTCTGAGCAGTTCTGCTTGTATGGAAAAAAATTAAGGAACGTTACGGGAAGAAACTAAAATTAAATCGTATCTTTGAATGATAGATTTTCGGATGACATTCATGTGGACGCAGACTCTTCTTCTGCGCGCGAAAAGAATCTTTTCCATATGAATCTTAATCCATTCAAAGAGGGTTCCCTTTATAAGGGGGTGAAAATTCCTTAGGTTTTCCGATGTGGCATAAATCTCACTAGAAACTCACCATTTTCTCATTTCTTCCATTTCAACGAGTGAACTTCGAGAATCAATTTTTCATTCACCCATTATCCGTTTTGAGTGTACCATATATCGAATTGTAGAACTTAGCAAGGACAATCTGAAACCACTTTGACCCGACCCAAATCGGAAGTGGACTCCACTCAAAATATTATCCAAATTGACCATTTAATGCATTTTTTAACACATTTTTTCAACATAATATAGTAATTGTATGTCATATTTTGGAAACACTTCGTTTTTTCAAAGTAATAATCATTCTTTAATTCGTGAGTAATAGTTGATACCGAGTATTATTTAAAGTTATTATTATAATTATTTCTTTTCTTTTGTCAAAATCCTTCTGTTTTTAAAACACATTTCTTTAATTTTTGAGTCCTTCTTGTATCCACTTTTGTACAAACATTTGTACCCGCCCCTTTATTTTGTCTGTGTACACAGACAAACACAGACAAAATGTTGCATTGTTCTTAAAGAATTGCCTGTGTACACAAGCAAGATAGGGGTGAGTACACAGTTCGTATATACTACACCCGGGTGTACAGGTGGGAACCGTACATCCGGGTATTTTTTTATTTTTTTAAAGCTTCAGCCCAATTTAAATGAAATTTAATGAATATAATGGAGACCCACAATAATTAACGAGCAAACCCCATAAACAACAGGTCTGAAGTGAAAAACAAGCAAAGGGGGCAATTATTTTAACGGTGACATTTTTGTAATTTAAGCGAAAAATCACGTCTCCTGCTAAATGAGCAATAATGTACTTTTAATGAGCATTTGACATACTTTATTGAGTATTAGAAGACTAATTATGAATATCACGATCTCTTTGTCACACCTTCTAATTCTTTTTCTTTTTTTTGTTATTTTTCTTTTATAAAAACTTATTAAATATATCTATAATCTACTCCTATTAATTTCAATATGCGAGTCTAATGTAATATGATACTTTTGGAACATGCATTGATATGACATTTTAAAAATGAGCATAACATTAGTACAAAATGAGCATACATAACTTACAAAATGCACATTATATGAAAATCGTAAGGTTTGTTAGTTGAACATCATGACATTTTAAATTAGCATCAACCTCCACTATTGAGATGAAAATCACGACTTCTGGAAAACGAGTAATAATGAACTTTTAATGAGCATCAGACCTATTATATTGAGTATTACGAGTCTAATATAAAATACTCTGTAGTACTTTTAAAATGCATTGATATGACATTTATAAAATTAGCATATGATCAGTCTTAGATGAGCATACATATCAAACATCGTCTATTGAGATTGATGAAAATCATGCATCCTATTAAACGAGCATTAATGAATTTTTAATGAGCACCAGACCTATACAAATGAGCATATGTAATTTACAAGATGAGCAATGGTATGAAAGTTGTAAGCTTTATTCGTTGAGCATCAAGACATTTTCAGTGAGCATCAAACCTCAGTTATTGAGTATTAGAATCTGCGATTGAGTATCAAGATTTGTGGTCTCGTGTCTATAATCAATTCTTATATAAATCTACTAATAATGTAATATGAGACTTTTGAAATGCGCATTGCTAAAACATTTTAAAAATGAGCATAACAGAGATACTAAATGAATATACATAATTTACAAAATGAGTATTCAAAAATTCAAAAACTCATTTATGTATGTTCATTTTTTTACGCGTTTTACTCATTTGAGTTTAAGGTAAAACTCATTTCTAATGTACTCGGTATAATGTATATAAATACGACAAGAAGTAAACAACAAATAAAGAAAGGAAAAGAAGTACAAAAAAGACCAAACAAAAGAAAGTGAAATAAAAAAAAACATAACAAAAAGACAAAAGTAAAAAATAACAATAAGAATGGATGGTTGTAGAAGAAAAGAAGATGGAAGGGAAGGAGAGAAACAAAAGATGATGGTTGTGGAAGAAACGAGGATGACCGGGAAGGAAAGAAACAAAAGATGATGTCGGCGGAAGAAAAGATGATGTCGGTGGAGTATACAAAGTCAGCGAAAAGAAAAAAGGAAGAGAATGGCGAGCCAGAATGATTGCGTAAGAGGATGATAACTAGGATTGAAGTTGGTTTATTTACAAAAATATCGGGTGTATGTGTACATCCGGGTTCAGGATATAATTTGCCTTTCAGCATAAAAGTGGGTACAAATTGTTAATTTTTTCTTTTATGAAATTGGAACCAGAAAGAGCAGGCTCCTCACTCCTCAGCTTCTGCGGTGAGTTCAGCACTGACCATTTGGCCTTGATCAAATTTAATTTCATGAGGTATTCCTCGCAACCCTAAGCCAAATTAAATCTGTTTTCGCTTTGATGCAATTGAATCCAGACATCAAGAAAGCTAGAAAATTTCTCCAATTCAATGGGTTCACGATTCTATGCCAATGCACCTATGCACGTTTTACAGTTCTTCAATATTTATATCGTGCAGCTCTTGAAGTGAATTGGACGTAACTGAAATAGAACGCTGATGGGCGTGCCCCATTTTCCATAATACACTGTCATGTGCTCTGTTGGTCTTCTTGCTCAAAAGGGCATCAAGTTCTTTCCTTATTTTGGCAGTGTTTCGCGTTTTTTGTGTACACAGCGTTTCGGAAGTGACGACATCTTAAACGGGGTAGGAAGTATAGAGGATAATTTGAAAGAAAGCTGGAAAAATCCAAATTTTGATTATAATTTTGAAGATAATTCAGAAAACTCCGACCAGTCATTCTGTTTTATGGGAGGTGGGAGCTTTCCTGAAGGAATCCAGCCGAAATTTTCCACCAGAAGCAATTTTATCAATGATTCAAAAGTTGAGGCTCAGCGAGTTCTGGAAATTCTTTATCAAGACGGACCAGGGTTTGATACAAAAGCAGCTTTAGATGATTTGCAAGTTAGGCTTTCTGGGTTTCTAGTGAGGGAGGTTCTTGTAGGTCTACTGAAAACTTTAAATTACGCGGATAAGAATAGGTGTGCAAAGATGGGGTACAAGTTCTTTATGTGGTCAAGTCAGAATGAGAATTACTCACACACAACTAATTCATACCATTTAATCATGAAGATTTTTGCAGAGTCAGGGGAGTTCAAGGCTATGTGGAGATTAGTCGATGAGATGTGTGAGAAAGGCCACTCAATTACTGCTCGTACTTTCAACATAGTGATATGTGCTTGTGGCGAAGCAGGATTAGCCAGAAAAGTAGTTGAAATGTTCCTTAAGTCTATCAATTTCAATTATAGACCCTTCAAGCATTCATTTAATGCAATTTTACAGTCTCTTTTGACTGTGAAACAGTACAAGCTGATTGAGTGGGTGTATGAGCAGATGCTGGACAAAGGCCACTCTCCCGATGTGCTAACATATAATATCATTCTATGTGCAAAGTACAGGCTGGGAAAACATGATCAGTTTCACAGGTTACTTGATGAGATGGGAAAGAATGGCTTTTCACCTGATCTTCATACATTCAACATCCTTCTTCACGCCCTTGGCAAGTGGGACAAGCCTCTAGCAGCTCTTAACCTTTTGAATCACATGAGTGAAGTTGGCTGTGATCCTACCATTCTTCACTTCACGACTTTAATCGATGGGTTGAGTCGAGCAGGCAACTTGGATGCCTGTAAATATTTTTTTGACAGAATGGTAACGCAAGGGATAGAGCCTGACGTTGTGTGCTACACAGTTATGATAACTGGATATGTAATGTCTGGTGAATTCGATAATGCCAAGGGGTTATTCTCTGAGATGACCAACAGGGGTGAGCTTCCGAATGCATTCACCTACAACTCTATGATCCGTGGGTTTTGCATGGAGAGGAAGTTTGAGGATGCTTGTTTGATGTTGAAAGAAATGGAATTGAAGGGTCGTAATCCAAATTTTGTTGTGTATAGCACACTAATCAATTGCTTGCAGAAGGCTGGAAAGCACTCAGAAGCTGATCGGGTGGTGAGTTATATGATGGAAAAGGGAAGTTACATCCCGCTTTTACCCAAACTTAAAGGATATAGGAGATGCTAAAGGAAGAGGTGCATGTGAGGAAAGGATTTATTTAAGGTGAGCATGAAATGAATCTTGTTTTTCAGTTTGTCTTACACATATTTGTATATAAGTGAGCATCTCTTATGATTATCTTTTCCTTGTGTAACTAGTGTTATGTGTACTCTTTGTATATCGATCTTCCATGTTTATAAAAGGACAAGTTTTTTATTCAATTCACATTGAAATGCAAAGGATTACATATATTGACATATATATACCTGTGGGATCCTTAAATTGTTCGCACAACACATTCACACACTCTGGGAATACAAGAGGTTATAAACTCAATGTGCGATATATAAGATCTTCTTTTGTGGGACAATATCATGATGCAGGCCTGTGAAACCAAATGAGCGTATGAGTCTTCATATATTAGTATTAGTTTGCCTTTTTTTTTCATTATTATTAATTTTTTCTATTAGTGTTGGTATATTGGTATTCCATATTTAGTTCATATTTTTAAGAGCAACACTGTGATAGGTTAACTCTATTTACTTACTCACTAAGAGTATTGTCAGTATTAGAACTTGATAATATTATAGTATTCATTTATTCCAATGATAGACTTTTTCAAGGTCTCAAGGACGAGACTCTTCCTCGTAGGCTCTCAAAGGTACAGTCCAGCTTTATCCCATCCATGCTCATAAAATATTAATCACAATGATCAAGTTTTCATCCATGGGAATATTGAAGAATTTGCAAATAAACTGCAAAATATGAATTCACAGAAACAGTAACATGTTGGACTTAGGAAGGTACCTTTATGGCTCTTGAAAGCACAGTTTTCTTGTTGATTGGTATCTGTTAGTAGTCCTCATTATCTTTAATTTGTGGTGATCCCTTAATGTGTAATGCCAAATCCAGATACTCTTGTGTCTTCATGTTGATATCTTTTATGATAATTTTACTGTTCAAGAAAGTTAATCCCAAGTTGGCAATCTGTTTAGAATATAATACTTTGATACTCTATCATATTCAGAGCATATATGTAAACTGTGGAGGTATATTTTGAAATAATACCTGATATTATAGAGATTCCTTGTGTGTATTCTCTAGGGGGTACTACTGCAATTTTTTTTATAATTCAAAGAGCATACATAATCTCTCCCTGTTCTTTTTCGACCAAATTCATTATTCTCTTTATCTTTTGGAAAATTGCACAATGCTTTGGTGGGTAAAAAGTTGAGATTTTTGTAATTTGAGATGTTAAATACATTGCAGTACTACAAATTTGTGTTATTATTAGTATTATTATAAAAGTATCTCTTCTCATTTAGAATTCAAAGATTGCAATTTTGTTCATAACAAGATTATACTCTACCAACATTTTTTTCATGAGTAATACTGCAAGTGATATACTCCGTATGATAAATGCTGCCATGAATGAGGATTCATTTATCGTGTGCACTACCGATCACCTTCTGGTTTGGTCACTTATAATTAGACGTTTGATATGGGTGGTATGTGGATACAGAACTAGTGACCAACACTCTTTCTTTTGATTTTTGTGGTTCATTTAAAGTAAGGGTGGATTTGTGCCAGTTCCAGGCAATGTTAATGGCATGGGGAACCGGAACCTTAACTGGGTACACCAGTTCCGGTTCCAGATTAGTACCTTTTTTAGCCATTTAATAAACAAGACGCGGAACTGCTTTCCGTTCCTGTCCTATGTTTGAGGAACCGGAACCTGAAAAAAGTGACCGGTCCGGCTCTTTACAGCTCGGTTCCAGAACGGGGTCCACTACCACACAGTGACGCAGGTGGATCAAAGATAAAACACTAATGGTCTTGTTATTTAGGTTGGAAATATATACTCTGCTCAGAATGTCACCACCTTTTTACAGGTTAAGCAATTTCATTGATTGAGCTGATGAAGCATAAATATTGGTGGGCAGGAATAGAGATAGAGAGATAAATAATGAGTACTGATCACTTCTTCTCCTCTTTCTTCTCTTCCTCTTTCTTTTCTTCCTTTTTCTCTTCCTCTTTCTTCTCTTCCTTTTTCTCTTCCTCTTTCTTCTCTTCCTTCTTCTCTTCCTCTTTCTTTTCTTCTTTCTTCTCTTCCTTGGCTGGTCCAACCGATAAAATTTCGACTTTTGCCACCTTTTTCAGCCTTTTCACCACTGCAACCGCATCCATCCCTCCTATCACCGTCAGCTTCTGCTCTTTTAGATCGGCAGCAATCGAGTCTATTCCTGTCCGTCCTTACAAGATTTGTGAATTTTCACTCTTCAGCTGAAGTTTAAGGAAAAAAAAGATGATCCAGAGGGTACCTACCATATATGTCAGCAGCAGCTTCAATGGCTTTCTGCTTTGTCTTGTCATCAGTCATGGTGAGCACCTTGATCACTACTTTCTGCAACATGAATTATTAATCTGAATTACTTCATGCTTAAACAAAGGGTATAAAGATAGTTAGTCACTGTACACTTAGAGCCTCTGTACCTGCTGATCCATTTTGAGAAATTGATGATGGAGAAGAACTAGTGAGGGGTATAGGTGCTTTGCTTTACATAATGTGCAATAATATACATGGGTTGGGGTGGGGGTGGGGGTGGGGTCTTGCATGCATTTGGTGGAGGAAAATCTAGTGTGTGATGTGGCACACCCAAAGGATCTGTCCTAGTGGGAATGGCCCAAATGAGGACAACTTTAAGTGTGTTAGCTTTGACCTTTTAGAACTGTTTGGCCGTCCTACTTGTTTAGTTTGGTCCCACAGTACATATGAATTTAAGATGCACGATCCAATCAATACACCTAAATAAGTTGCTAGAATCTAGTCAGAGTTTTTTTGGCTCTATGAAGATTATTAATGTAAATTCAGGCGGGTTTCTAATCACACAAGCCTAAAATTACACTCCCTTCATTTCTAAATAAAAGTCTCATTTCCTTCTTCGGCAAACAAAGCAGTGTCAAACAGTGTCAAAGAATCTCACTTTCTTAAATTGTGCGTAAAACGGAGCGAGTAGCCGAGTATAACAAGTTTAGTGCTGGAAACCGGCCAAAAATATGACGGTTTAGTGGCGGAATATTAGTGGAAAATCAAGTTGGCCGCAGAATGGCCATTACGTGAAAGGCGATGTCTTTTTTGTTGTGTTTTATTGCAAGGTTCTCTACAAGAGAATAATACGGAATATATTGCTAACAAGACCGTTAGATAGGCACTCTTTAATACGGAGTAGAATACCTTTGTTCTGATGAGGTGTCAGTGTTATAAAATGAATGATTTGCCAAATGGTTTCTTCTCCATTTGTAAAAGTGGTGCTTTCCGGCTTTCGATCTTTATTATTTGAGAACTATTCTGTCCATTCCTGTTTAGTCTTTCTGTTTGGAATTGCATCCATCTTAGAGAATTAATTTTTTTCCTTTAACTTGTTGAAGAAATGCCGCTTGTAGGGGTAATAGAGTAAATTGATATATTAAAGAATGCCGATGAAGTTGCCGACCTGAAAACGATAAAACCAAATAAAATAAAATAAAAACATGAAAAAAGCTGCATAGATGGTCCATGCAGGGGGTTACCCGGAAAACTTGTTTACATGCTAATCTTTTCATTTAGGCGGTTTATAAGAATTTGAGGGTTTAATTGATTGATTTTAGAGTATGACGACCTAATTGACCTTTTTGATATATATTACGCAGGTTTTGATAGTTTTCCTTTGGAGGAAATTGCTCCTAAAACATACAAATTAACATTTTTTCAAAAATAGAAACATATGTTTGATTTTCTCTAACACTTTATTCTATACCTGCTTCAATGTTGATATACTCTTCTTGGTCCGGTGCTGACTTTATTACACCTCGAAGTGATAAATAACATATCACACAAATTTTCTTATTTATGGTCTCTTTTTATTTAATTCCGCCGTGAGATCATTTTCTGGTATCATGCATGTCCCAAGCCAGGATAAAGGAGGAGGGAGTTGTGGTAGACGCGTGACGGCCAACAGTATCACTAGTCACATCATATGACATGAATTGAAATCTGAATATTGCTATAGCTAGGTCGTCACCCGTAAGCGACGTGTCATCCCTCCGCCTGGGGGTGGTGTCAAATTAGTAAGGGCGCGCTACCTTTCATAGGTCTGAGTGGTGATAAGAATGCTAAGGCTGCTAGGTCGTCGCTCGGAAGCGACGCGCTACTCCAATGCCCAAGGATGGTGTCAAATATGGAAGGGCATGGTGAGGATCGATGTGGTGTGAAGAAGAGAAGACAAAGTGTTATGAAGAGGAGGAATATTAACATAATGTGCATGCAAGAAACTAAGTGGTTTGGAGAAAAGGCACATGAGATTAATCCTGAATGTTTTAAGTTGTGGTATTTGGGGAGAGAGATGAACAAAAATGGAGTAGATATTATGGTGGCACATGATTTTGTTGAGGGTGTGGTTGAAGTCCTTAGGAAGAACGATCGCATCATGATAATAGGAGATGAGATCGTGTACGTGGTAAGTGCCTATGCACCACAAGTGGGAGTCGATGCATCTATCACTCAACAATTTTGGGAGGATCTTGATCGAGGAAGTGGTGCGACGAGTGCCTAGGGGAAAGAAGTTGGTTATAGGAGGCGACCTCAACGGACATGTGGGCCCAAGTCGTGATGGTTTTGAGAGTATCCATGGCGGATATCGTTTTGACACTAGAAATGAAGCGGGGAAGAACATTCTGGATTTTGCCTCGACATATGAGTTGGCTGTGATGAACATTTGGTTCAAGAAAACAGACACCCACCTTGTCACCTATAGAAGTGGAGCTAATAGTTAGGGGTGTTAAAAAACCCGGTCCGCAATGATCCGACCTGGCCCGAGACATTTGGGGCGGGTCTGGGTATTAGTATTGACCTATGCTGCCCCGACTCGCCCCTCCCCGATCCGCTCAATATATAAGTATATACATACTTTTTCTTAAATTATACGGAGTATTACAAATATACTTCAACATACATATGTGTGTATATAATAAATCATAAATTCTTTGATCTTATAATATATATATATATATATATATATATATATATATATATATATTAGATTGAGATGAACAACGGATTATCAATGTCTTCTTCATATATAGCATTTTAATACATATATTCAAGTATTAATATAATTAAATAGAATAACTATTCAAGTCTAAGTGATTTTTCCTTAACTTTTGAAATTTCTAGTGTAACGTGAATTTGATTGAATATATTAATTTTTAATAATTATTTAAAGATAAA